ACAAATATGTGGAAATTAAACACCACACTCTTGGGACTTCCTTGGTGGTGCAGTGGTTGAGAGTCCGCCTGCCAACGCAGGGGACACGGGTTTGAGCCCTGGTCCGGGAAGATCCCACATGCAGTGGAACAACTAAGCCCGTGTGCCACAACTACTGAGCCTGCGCGCTAGAGCCCGCAAGCCACAACTACTGAAGCCCACGTGCCACAACTACTAAAGCCCGCGTGCCTAGAGCCTGTGCTCTGCAACAAGAGAAGTCACCGCAATGAGAAGCCCGTGCACCGCAACAGAGTAGCCCCCGTTCACTGCAACTAGAGAAAGCCTGCGTGCAGCAACGAAGACTCAATGCAGCCAAAAATAAATAAATAAATTTATAAAAAACAAACAAACAAGAAGCACCACACTCTTAAAGGGTCAAAGGGTCAAAGAAGGACTCACAAGGGAAATTAGAATATACATTGAGACAAATAAAAATAAAGACACAACACCCCAAACCTTATAGAATACAGCAAAAGCAGTGCTAAGAGGAAACCTTATAGCCCTAAATGACTATAGTAAAAACGAACAGAGGTCTGAGATCACTAACCTAATTATATGCCATAAGTAACTAGAAAAAGAAGATCAAACGAACCCCAAACTTAGCAGAAGGAAGGACATAGCAAAGATTAGAGAAGAGATCAATGAAATAGAGAATAGAAAAACAACAGGGAAATCAAAAAACCCAAAAGTTGGTTCTTTGAAAAGATCAACAAACTTGACAAACGGTTAGATAATTTACTAATCAAAAAATAGAGAAGACATGGGACTTCCCTGGTGATCTAGTGGTTAAGACACCATACTTCCAATGCAGGGCATGTTGTGGGTTTGATCCCTGGTCGGGGAACTAAGTTTGGGGAACTAAGATCCCACGTGCCTCGAGGTGCAGCCAAATAAATAAATAAACAAATAAATCTCATTCAATAAGATTTTTTTTAAAAAATGGAGAAGGCAAACTACTAAAATCAGAGATGGAAATGGGGACGTTACTATTGATTTTAAGAAATTAAAAAGAATTATAAGAGTATCGTACAAACAATTGTACACCAACAAGGTGGATAACCTAGATGAAATGAATAAATACCTAGAAATACATAATCTATGACAACTGAATCATGAAGAAATAGAAAATCTGATTAGATCTCCTAACAGAGTGATAGACTCAGTAATCAAAAACCTTGCAATAAAAAAAAGCCCAGGACCAGATGTCTTTACTGGTGATTTCCATCAAACATTTTTTTTAAAAATAGATTTATTTTATTTATTTGTTTGCTTGTTTATTTATTTTTTGGCTGTGTTGGGTCTTTGTTGCTGTGCGCGGGTTTTCTCTAGTTGCGGCGAGCGGGGGCTACTCTTTGTTGAGGTGTGCGGGCTTCTCCTTGCGGTGGCTTCTCTTGTTGTGGAGCACAGGCTCTAGGCACATGGGCTTCAGTAGTTGTGTCACATGAGCTTCAGTAGTTGTGGCTCGCGGGCTCTAGAGCACAGGCTCAGTAGTTGTGGTACACAGGCTTAGTTGCTCCGCTGCATGTGGGATCTTCCCGGACCAGGGCTCGAACCCATGTCCCCTGCACTGGCAGGCAGATTCTTAACCACTGCACCACCAGGGAAGCCCCTCCACCAAACATTTAAAGAAGAAATAACATCGATCCTTATCAAATCCTTCCAAAAAATTGAAGAGAAGGAAACACTTCTTAATTCATTCTATGAGGCTACCGTAATCTGATATCAAAGCCAGACAAGGACACTACAAGAAAAGAAAACTAAAGCTCCATATCATTTATGAACATTGATGCAAAAATACTCAATACTAGCAAACTGAATTCGGATTTAAAGTTTTTAAAACTTTAAAATCAAAAGAATGAAGAGAAAAAAGCACTCCATCATCTCAATTGATATAGAAAAAGCACTTGACAAAATTCAACATCTCTTTATGATAAAAATAGTTGACAAGGTAAATTCCCTGTTGGTCCAGTGGTTAAGACTCTGTGCTCCCAATGCAGGGGGCCGGGGTTTGATCCCTGGTCAGGGAACTAGATCCTGCATGTCACAACTAAAAGAGGCCACATTCTGCAACAAAGATCGCACATGCAGCAACTAAGACCTGGTGCAGCCAAAAAAGAAAAAACGTTGATAAACTAGGAGTAGAAGGAAACTACCTCAACATAATAAAAGTCATTCATGAAAACCCCACAGCTAAATGGGGTTTTAACCCATCATACTTAAAACTTTTCCTCTCAAATCAGGAACAAGGCTTACAAACCGATTCAGGAAAGTAGTAGGACACAAAATCACACAAAAAAATCAGTTACTTTTCTATACACTAATAATAAGCAACCAAAAAAGGAAATTAAGAAACATAATTCCATTCACAAGAGCATCAAAGACGAATACAATGCTAAGGAATTAGGATTAACTTAACCAAGGAGATGAAAGACATACAATGAAAACTACATAATATTGCTGTGAGAAATTAAAGCAGACCCAAATAAATGGAAACATATCCTGTGTTCATTGGAAGACTTAGTATTGTTAATGACAATATCACCCAAAGTGGTCTGCAGGCTCAATGCAATCTCCATCAAAATCCCAACAATGATTTTGCAGAAATAGAAAATCCATCCTGGGACCTCCCTGGCAGTCCAGTGGTTAAGATGCTACACTTCCATTGCAGCGGGTACAGGTTCGACCCCCGGTGGGGGAACTAAGATCCTGCATGCCACGCGGCCAAAAAAGAAGAAAAAAAGAAAGAAAGAAAGGAAAAGAAAAAGAAAATCCATCCTAAAATTCATATGGAATCTCCAGGGACCCCAAAGCCAAAGTCATCTTGAAAAAGAAGAAAGCTGGAGGAGAAAGCTGGAGGACTCACAGCTCCTAATTTCAAAACTTACTCTTAACTATAGTAATTAAAGTTGTGTGGTACTGGCTTAAAGACCTATAAACAGTGGAATAAATAGCCCAGAAATAAGCCCTCCCCAGTGCTGTCAAGTGACTTACAGGGGTGCCAAGACCACCCCAGTAATATTTTAACAAACTTTTTATGACAAAATTCTTCCAAAATTGGTTTTAGTGGTGAGGGAAACCAGCATCCTGTGCTAGTTCCCCATCTTAACAGAAACGCGGGTATGATTTATTGTCTTTTTCTAGCTCCTTTGCATCAAGAAAGCAGCAAGTTCAACTGCAGTCAATTTCTGATCACCCAAATGCTGATCTCTGCAACGCAAAACATTTTTGTCCATTTTGAGACACTCCTGGTTAACAAGATGCTAGCTTACTTCATTTCCTCAGGGGTTGTAGTATCTCCCCACAGTAGTTAGAGAGCATCTCAGAGGAGGGAATGACACCTCAGCTGTCAAGTGAAATCCCTTCTACATCAAGTTTCTTACCCCTGGGACCAAAGTCACGCTGCTTCCAGCCCAGCCATAAATAATGGCTGCTGGAGTGAGGTTTTCCTCATCAATTCTCTGGGCCAGAGTCGCTGCTCAGTAAACTGCTGCAATTTTCCTAATGTAGGATACAGAGGAACGACCTGGGAAGGGTTATCAAATAGTATACAAGTCTAGACGGTTTGTTCTAGAGTTCCTTTTCATTGAAATAAAAAATGACTATTAGCAAACACCAATTAGCTCTGTGAACAGCAAGGGTTTTAACCTCTCTGTAACCCTTTTCAGCTTCTATGTCACTAATCAAAAAACATTATGAGGAGGGCTTCAAGAGAGTCTTTAAAATTCTAAGGAAATTCTAAGGAAATCTAACAAGTACAAATCATCTAAGGATGATTTGTACTTATTAGATGGAATGAGGGCTTCTCTAGCCAGCAACAATAAAGTTTTTGAAAATCTGTGTCTCTTCTACATCTTTTAATTAATTCTCAAAGTCCAATGTGTAAAGGATATAACATAGAAGAACTTCTCTGTAATGCTATTTTCTAAAGAGTAAACTTTATCACGAAGACGGTGTGTTTCAGACTTTTCCAGAATTAACAGATTGTATCATATGTAATTTTTCCCATAAAATAACCTCATCACACGGATCTTAGAACATTTAGTGGTTTTGGTAGATATAATATTTTATTCTTGTCTGCTCATTTAATCATGGATTGTACTATTTAGAGGCTAATTTTTGCAGATAAGGGATTTTCTAAGTGAAGAAAAGGCATGCAATTTTTTCAAAAGAAGAGAAAGAACTTAAAAAGCATTGATTAGTAGTCAGTCAAGTAAGAGGTTTACAGTTTCTTTCCTAGAATCTACTAATTGCTATAATTTCTCAGATGTACTAGAAAAGGTTTTTTTTTTTTTTGTCTGAGCAGCATATAGGATCTTAGTTCCCCAGCCAGTGATCAAACCCTCGCCCCCAGCAGTAGAAGCCCGGAGTCCTAACCACTGGCCCACCAGGGAAGTCTGGAAACCATTCTTTTAATGGTTTTAATTCTTTCAATTCTCTGAAACCATTCTTTTAATTAATAAATTAATTTATTTATTTTGGCCGCACCGGGTCTTGGTTGCGGCATGCGTACTCTTAGTTGTGGTGTGCGAGATCTAGTTCCCCAACCAGGGATGCAACCTGGCTCCTTGCATTGGGAGCTCGGGGTCTTACCCACCGGATCACCAGGGAAGTCGTCCCTGAAACCATTCTTTTGACATGCATCTTAACTATCCAGGGCCAGTATCCTGTTTTCTCCCTCCTGAATCCCCTCAGGGCACACCTTGGGATGGGAGTTGGGATGCCATCCCTGAGGGCTTTATGACCACAACGTCTTTTATTTACTGATAGGACATTTTTTTGTCCACATGACCCAAGTTAATATTCCGCTTTGACAAAAGAAAAAATGCATTTGGATTAGCTTTAAAAAGTTTTCTCATAAATATTTGATTTAGTACATAAAATCTAATACCTATCTGAATTTTTGAAAATTAGTCTATATCTGTTTCTGTAGATTAGAGTCCTAAAGTTAGAATGAGAGATCATTGCTCATTTCAGCAGCACATGTACTAAAATTGGAACGGTACAGAGACGATTAGCATGGCTCCTGTGCAAGGATGACATGCAAATTTGTGAAGCGTTCCATATTTTTTTTAATTTTCGAAAAAAAGAATGAGATCATAGTATATGCAAATTTTACCTCTAACAGATATTTGTATTCATCTACCAGTTTGTACTCCAACTATTAGTACTTGAGATTAACTCTTTTTCTCATACTTCATCAGCACTGGTTTTTAACAGTTTTTATTGTTATTTAAGAAGCAAAAAATTGTAAGAAGTTAAAAATTGTAAGATTTTTGTTTCAGGATGCCTACTGCAGCGAAATTTGTGATTGTAAAAAAATTGAAAATACCCTAAGCAGTAATTAATATACAAATAATTACAAATTAGGGAATGTACTTATTGCAGAATATCTACTATTAGCCATGAAGAAGGAGGTGGAACTACAGGGTATTTCTCCCAGACTTAGGCAGTTCATATCCCGTGTGCCTCTCCTAAGTTCTTCACGTATATCAAAGCTTCCAACTCTCATTACAACCCCATGTAGACAGTACTATCATCATACCTAACTTGTGTTTAAAACAAAATTCACCTAAGTTTGGAGAGCTAATTGGCTTTATTCAAAGATTCATGAAGCAGGCAGCATCCCTTCTAGCAGATGGAAGGGCCCTCCGCAGAGCTGTACAGAATGGAAGGTTTTTATAAGCTGGAGGGTGGGGCAAGTAAGTCATTAGCAAAAGAAAAGAAAGGGTTATTTGGGGCCAGGACATCACTTTTTGGGATAAAGGACTGGGCAAGGGTTTTGTCATGCAGACTGCCTCTGCTTCCTCTTGGTTGGGGGCGGGGGGAGGGGTGGGGGTGAGGATGGTATTATTTCATTGGTGCCAACCAGAAAATTCCAAACTGGTTGGTTAAGATTACATTTCTGGGGAAGGTTGAAACTGTAATTAGATTAGGTGTTAAATCTTGGCTTTAGCACAAGTGATGCCATTTTGGGCCTATGGTTTTTTCCTTTAACAATTACAAATAAGGGAACCAAGGCAGTACCACAGAGCAGTACTGTAGACTACTAAGCAGCAATTAAAAAGAATTAGGTGGGGGCTTCCCTGGTGGCGCCGTGGTTAAGAACTTGCCTGCCAGTGCAGGGGACACGGGTTCGAGCCCTGGTCCGGGAGGATCCCACATGCCGTGGAGCAACTAAGCCCATGAGCCACAACTACTGAGCCCGTGTGCCTAGAGCCCGTGCTCTGCAACAAGAGAAGCCACCACAATGAGAAGCCCGAGCACTGCAACGAAGAGTAGCCCCTGCTGCAACTAGAGAGAAAAGCACGTACAAAGACCCAATGTAGCCAAAAATAAATAGATAAATAAATAAATTTATATATATAAAAAAAGGATTAGGTGGACCTATTTGTACTGATCTGGAACATGTCTGTACCATATCATTAACTGAAAAAGCCAATGTGAGAGTGATAAATGATACGATTCCATTTTATATTTTAAGAGTATAAATGTTTATGTAAACATACCTGTGTAAGCATAGAATCAAATACAGAATATTATTCTATTAATAATTTGGACTTGAAAGATTTGTGAAGAGGGTTCCGACTGATATCTTAATGTCTAATTTACCTAATTTTAAAGGAAAGAAAGAAAAAAGAGGAGGAAGGAAAAGAAAGAAGGAAAAGAAAGAAGTGAAATAGGGTTCATCCTTGGGACCTCCCTGGCGGTCGAGTGGTTAAGACTCCATACTTCCAATGCAGGGGACGCGGGTTCGATTCCTGGTGGATCCCACATGCTTCGTGCTCAAAAAAAAAAAAAAAAAAGAAAGTGTTCATCCTTAATGGTAAGCCAAAATTGGGTGCCACCATGGTTAAGCAGCTTTTTTCTTCCACGTAGTGATGGAGAGAAGAAAATTATTAACCTACTCAGAATTTGGAAGCGATTCAAAGCAAACGTGTCCCCTTAGTTTATTTAAACAAAGTCATTATAACCGTCTGATTATTACACGATCTGATATTTACTACATTACACACTGGTCACTACCGCACCAGCTTCCTCCCCATTCCCCACTTGCAATACTAACTGGCCTCCAGATTTTTTTCTGAAAACAACAAAAGATTTTGTTTCTTAAGCCAATTAGTTCCAAATAACTCTTACATCTTCACTTAGCTTTCCCGATGTTTCTGTAAGAGAGGCCCACTGGACTATATTGCAAATGGCTTGGGGCCATTTACTTTGTTTCAATTCAGTTTCTCTAGGTAGAACCAGACATTTTGTCAGTGCATTTGGGGATTACAATGCATATTTCCCCAGAGACACGCTATAACCTATTCCCACTTTAAACTCTAGGACATGCCCTATATTAGGAACATTTTTATGAACTATATAATAGAAATAAATTAGTAAGTATATGTTCTGCATCTATAGTTACAACACGCATGGGAATACAAAGATAAATAACCTATCATTCCTGCCCCCCAAGAGAACAGGGAGAAGACCTGTAGACAACAAATATTTCCACCTACGTTACAGTATTTTCTTCGCTGTAGCAAAGTTCTGCGGAAGAGGAGGGGAAAAGGGTAAGGGAAATTCGACAGAGGAAGTAATGTTTCAGCTGGACCTTCAAACAACAGCCTTTAAACTTTTGCTCACATACTTTCTAGAAAGATTTTGATGAAATATAAACCCTTTTACACATATAACGTGACATCTAACATAATTTCTGTGTAGTGCAAATATGTCCATTAAAAATACAAATCTTAAATCACTTTTATTAATGTGTTCAATGGCATCTAAATACTGTATTGTCAGGCTCCCCTGGTGGTGCAGTGGTTAAGAATCCACCTGCCAATGCAGGGGACGCGGGTTCGAGCCCTGGTCCAGGAAGATCCCACATGCCGCGGAGCTGCTAAGCCCGTGAGCTACAACTACTGAAGCCCGTGCTCCCTAGAGTCCGTGAGCCACAACTACTGAGTGCGCATGCCACAACTACTGAGGCCTGCGTGTTCTAGAGCCCATGCTCCGCAACAAGAGAAGCCACCGCAATGAGAAGCCCACGCACCACAATGAAGAGGAGCCCCTGCTCGCCGCAACTAGAGCAAGCCCGCGCACAGCAACGGAGACCCAACGCAACCAAAATAAATAAATAAATAAAAATTTAAAAAGTACATGAACAAGAAATTCTTCAGTAGTAGGAAATTTTACATGATTCGTTCTTCTTGCTTGAACTTCATTTCCTTTCTACTTCCCCCATAGAATTTTATCCTAGTGTAATATATATTTGTTCTTAAAAGTCTGCTGGCAATCATCCTATGATATTGCTCTGCAACAAAAATATGTAAATAAGTTTTCATTGAAAAATTTCTAGGCCCATAAAGCTAAGTGTTAGACATTTTTTAATCAATGAAATATGAATTACATTGCTAACTTTGATTAAACTGACACAAGGTACTATGCACTTCAATTAATAATGTATAAAAAGTAGAATTTTATAGAAACTCTTACTTAAGGTATTTTTTAATTCCCTTTTTGATTTCCTCGTTGACCCACTGGGTTTTTTTAGTCGCATGTTGTTTAGTCTCCATGTAATGATTTTTTCCCCATTTCTTTTTCTGTGGTTGACTTCCAGCTTCATGTTGTTGTGGTCAGAGAAGATGCTTGGCCACAGGGAAGATGGCGCCAAGGACCACGCAGCGCACGACCCAGTGGCCAGGGGATGGGGCCCGCGGCTCTGTAGGTGCCTCGAGCTCTCACAGATGGGGTGCTGTTCGGGCCACTAAGACCAGGACGATGCAGAGCAAGAAAGCTGACCCCAGGAGCCTGCTTCTTTCCCTCACGTCCTCTGCTTCCCCGGCCAGCATTAAACTCACAGCATCCAGGGCAGAGGGGATCCACTGTGGCCACCAAGCAGGGAAGAAGGGACAGGTGTCAGCACGGGACAAAGGGTCCTGTGGTCCACCATGGGTGGCGTGGGAGGCCTGCGAGACACCCAGGAGGAGGATCATTCCTCCCAGTGATCCCTGTGAAAAGGGGCGGCGAGACGTATCACTCGGGCCTGCAGTCTGATCCTGAACGAAGTCTTTCGGTATGAGACGAAGTTTCTAGCGCTTCGTTACGTCCCTGGGCTGAACAGCAGAACTCTGCCCACACCTCCGCCCCGGCTCCAGAGGACAGCCAACCCCCGGACCGCCTGGACGGATCCTGGAGCCGCGGAAAGGCCTTCTACTCTCTACCCTCCTGCGGGAAGGCGGACCCAGAAGACCGTCCTGACGGCGCTCCCAGCGCAGCAGGCCCGGGGGCCGCAGCTCCGGGGGCAGGACTGGGTGGGCAATGACCTAGCGCCGGGCAGGGGGCGTGAGGGAGAGGATCGAGGGCTCAACAAGCAGGCCGAGGTCGGGGGATGGCACCGTCCATCGCCCTCACCTGATATCCAGCCGCTCACCGCGGGTCGGCCCCCGGCCCGGGCACCAGGAGGCTCTGCAGCCACCGCCCACCGGCCGGCCCCCCACCGGCCCCCGCGGAGCTCGTTCCCCCCAACCCCGCCCCCGGCCGGCCCCCGCCTCCCTCCCCGGCCGCGGCCCGGACCCCAGGCCTCCCCAGAGGGTCTCCCGTCCCGCGGCGCGCGCCGGCCGGGGGTCTCTAGAGCCCGAGGCCCCTCTCCCGAGCCCGGCCTCCCGCCCTCCACCGGCACGTTTCCGAAACGGGCCGAGGCTGCACAGTCACCTCGGGCCCCGCTGCTGCAGCCGGTCCGCGCCCGGGAATCAGGCTGCGGGACGCGAGCTCCCCGGGGCCGGCCTCGTCCGCGGCTTCGCGCTCCCGCACCTGCACGGCGGCTGCCGCTCTGCCCTCGGGCTGCGCAGCCTGCCTCGCGCTTCTCACATCGCGTCTGCTGGCTGCCCCTCGGCCCCCTCCTCAGCCGGCGGGGGGACGTCCGGCGGGGCCTGCGGCGGGGGCTGCGCCTTGCAGGCGGGGGCCCGTGTGTCCTAGGGTGGGACTGGGAGCCCTGCCCCACTGGCCACCCAAAGACCCGCGCCACGCCCGTCAGGTCCCGCCGGCCCAGGTCTTTTTCCGGGACACCGGCAGCTGGGC